GGCGACAGCGGAGGCGGCTTTTCGAAACGCCACGGCGTGGACCACGCAGGCGGAGCAGGCGGCGCAGCGGGCCAAGGCAGCAGCCGCAGACGATGTGATGCTGAATGTGGGGGGAGGGCATTTTCCACACGAATTGAGGCAACTCATCAGTGCTGCGTTGGACGTTGCCGTCAAAGCTGCCAGTGCCGCAGAGGAGCTGCTGTGCCAGACCGAAGCCGAGGCCAACACCGCAAAGATAATGGAGGCTGAAGTCAAAGAGAAGGAGTCGGGTGATGAGGATGAAATGTATGTGAGTGCGAGGTTGGCTGCGGATAAGGCGAGCACTGCCGTGACGGTGTCCCTTAAGGTGAGGGAAAAGATGGAGGAGGCGATGAACGCGGCGACAGAAGCTGAGAATGCTCGAAAAGAGATTGAGGAAATAATGAAGTTAGCTTCAACAGGAACGGCTACTGGGGGCGCGCATACTTCCGGCAGCAATGCACATCCACCCGCTGCACCCTCCGCTAAAATGACAATGGGAAATCCTTCTGTGCCACAACCAGAAGAAATGAGGCCGGCAACCACAACAACCAGGACAACTACAAGCGGCTCCAGCAGCAGCACACTACATACATCTCAGAACTCGAAAGCAACGGTCACCGGTCCATCCACCACCGGAAGCACGGTTCATGGTCATGGCGTTTTTAATCCTGCGCAAGAGCCGCCTGCAGCTGGTACAAGGAAAACAGCGGTGGTGGGTAATCCCCAAGAGCCTACTGAGGTGCAGTTCGGGGCCTACGCCGCCCCTCACAGTGAGAATGACGAAGGTTCCGCTGCATCGGAAAGCAGAAACACGACATCTGTGGCTGGTACCCCACCCATGAATATGAGCGGGTATTCGCATGACAACGGTGTGCTGGCAGACGGCAGCAACAATGTTTGGCGGGCGCGTTTGCTACTGCTGTGTATGGTGGTGATGACGTCATTGTGCAGCGCCGTCGTGCTCTGAGGTGTGCATCTTTACATGCCCGGTCTTCTGTAGCAAGCTCCCTGCATTTGCCATTTTGAGGCCCGGTGCGTGTGATTCTTCTGTTGACCCTTCTGCTCCGCTTTGTGCTTGGCGGTGATGCAGTAACTGTTGACTATGTTTGCTCTGCTTCATGTTGTTTGGGAGGCGTTGCTGCTTTCCTCTCTTGCTTGGGCTTTGCTTTGCAGCCTTGTGTATGTTTCTCTCTAAGGTATTATGCATTTCTATATTGTGGCTTGCCTGCTGCACTGTGACACTTGCTCTGTCACGTCTTGTGCACTCCTCGTACATGTGGGGCATGCAGACGTCTGCTTTTGTGCATGTTTGTGTGCAGCGGTGCGACAGCTGCCCCGTGCTTCCCCCCCTTAGTTTGTGGTTTTATAACATTGATTCTTTAGTGAGGTGTGCTTCTCTCGCTACAGCATTCGTTCCTTTAACTGACGCGGGTTGGGTGGCAGGGTGCTGCTGTGGTGCTGCTCCCTCTCTCATTGTGTACGTGTGTGCGACTGTTTGTGGGATTGCTCTCCCCCTCTCTAGTAGCAATTGTTGTTTCTAAGGGGAGAGAGATGACTTCGATGGTACTGCGCTACGTGCTGTGCGCGGGGCTGCTCACTCTGTGGTGTGTTGCCTCGTGCGTGGCGGCTACACCTATTGCTGCCGCTGCGGCACAGCAGAGCTCGCAGGTGGGGGCCAGCGGTGGTGTCGCACCGTGGGCCGACGAGGCGGCGAGGCTGGCGGGGGAG